GAAATGCAATTTGAAAGTTTTGTTTGGGTGCAATCCCACAGTTTGTCTTCCAAAAATCATAATTTCTACCCTGTATTTGTGATGTGATTTATTGTCAGGTTATAAGGTTTCAAAGTGGATCTCAGAATAGAGAGTGTTGAGAGTGACTCGTGTTCATGGTGAAAGGCTTTTTGGAACCAGTTTTATTTTGTTTGAGGACAAAGGCTGGTCAGAAGTAAAGCAATATGAATGGTTTGGTTTCAGGATCAAATGCTGGTCTTATTGAAGTAGAAAAGGAGACTAAAGGCTGTGACAGTAATAGGAATCCACTGAAGAATTTGTAAGCATTTTCAAAGATAAGAAAACAAAAACTTGAAGATAGAAGTATTTACTGTATAATTATTGAATATTCATGAAATGTTGATCTGCTGTGGCATGTTGTGTGCAGATACTGAATATGTAAGAATGTTGTGAGTTTATAGCTAGTAAGTGGTGAGAGACTACAATTCCACTTGCATCTTCTCAGCTGGATCTTATTCCTTTCTACTGTTTCACCTAGAAAACAGTAAAAGCATGATTTGTATATGATGTTGTACTGTCAGAAATATTATGTAGATCATTAAAGAGGTCCTTTGGCCCAAAGTTGTCACTAGCATAATTTTGTTTTTCTATCAAAGTTTCCATCATATTTTTTTCATTTCACTAACTTGTTCAAAAGCTGACCCCGGCATATAATCAATACCACAGTAGCATTTCATATTTCAAGTTTCTCCATAGGTTGCTTTGCTGAGTTTTAGTATCCTTCTTTAGCTATAAAATTTTGTGCTGCATTACATCATTGATGAGCTAGATCTGAGATTTTGATGTATCATAAACAAAATCTCTTCTGAATTCTGTAGTTTTGGATGTATTATGGTTAAGTCCTATTTACTCTTTCTTTTGTATTTTGTTATAGACTGGCATTACCATCAGATTCCACATGAAAAAAAATCTTGTTTTCTTTCTTCATCAAGTTTGCAAGAAACAACATTAGGACATAGAGTTCTGGCTCTAATAGAGATGACTAAAACTGGAATAGAAACTAGATCACAATTTCCACACTTAATAAGGCAGTAAGTCAGTTGTTGCCATGGGACAGAGCTGGTTGAATTGTCATAACTATTCCATAGGCATAAATCTTAGACTTGCACCAGATGCTTCACACTGTTCCTGCTGTGCAAAACAGCTGGAAGTGCAGCTTAAAGGATTTCTTTCTTAGAGAGAAACAATGGGTGGCATGGAGCTGAGATAACCCGAAACTGATGGGAAGCTGCATCCCAGAGACAGCATCACTGTTGTGGCTTTAGGATGTGTATCTGATTCTGGGGTTTGTATCATGATGGGTAAAACTGCAGTTCAAGGCTCAGGAAGCAATCTTACAGATGGATATAGGGAGGTGAAGCTGGTTGGTTTCCTTTTTATGAATGTGCTTTGATGCAGTAACTTTCGCTTTGCTCTCTTTTTCTGTTTTCATGAGTATTTTCCTTTGCCCTGGAGATGCAGTTTTGGGGTAACATTTTGCCTGGTAGTATAATCAGTTAAGACTTTCTACTCCTTTTTAACTAGCTTTGAGAAATTGTAGTAATGTCAGATGAAGATGAATCTGCTTATTTTGTATTCAGTTGGGAAAGATTAATTTAAAAAATAGCAATTACATGGTGCATACCCATCTGGTTGATGAATTAGTTCTCCAATGGAGATGAACTCTTGCATAATAATTTTTCTGTAGAAGAAATAGATATGGTTAAAACACATTGGAAAATTCTTGCAATGAGACCCCTGTGAGCAAAATTGTTACTAAGCTAAGGCTGTTGATGTTAATATTATTTCAAGCAATAAGAAGTTTACATTAAAAACATGAAACATGACAGTTCCCATTAATTTCTCATGTAGTACTTTACTATTTGTTGAATAACAAAAAATTTTACTAGGCCATTTCAAGTATGAAGCTTGTTCTAAGCTTAAGGGTTCAGAAAAAAATGTATTGCAGGATGTCTTCTGCAGAGGGTCAGAGTAAAACAGAAACAGCACCATCATGGAGGCTTTGTTTGCACCCAGGAGTTTAACTGTTCCTGTAGCTAAAGCAATATAACTGAACGAGGAATGGTGAACGTGTTTATGGGAACAGGAATAAATTATACTGCTGTAAGCTGTATTTAGTAACTGCAGTAGGGGTGGGCTGAGGAGCTGCATTGCCAGAAGGAAAAATCATTTCCCTCACTGGAATAATCATGTTGTACTTCTATGTGAGGGCCAGGCCTAAATTAATTCCAGTTGCATTTCTGAGTTCTTAAATGAAAAAGCTGCTTCAAGAAAGGTTTTCTTTGGCTTTGGGAGGATTTGACACTGAGAGGTGTTGAACATCTGCATCTTCACTGAAGTCTGTGCTGCTTAAGGTGCTGTAAGTCATCACGGTTGTGTGTTTGTGGCTTGGCTCTAAATCTTGTTAAAGTCAGTCGGAAAATGCTTGGGTGGCTGGAGGACAGGAACCCTTGGGAGACCTTTTTTTGCCTGGCATATCTTGTTCTCTGACAAACCAGGTGTGCAGGCAATAGGAAGCAGTTTATCCTGAGAGCAGAAAAATGTGCTGAGGGGTGACCATGTGTGACAATCACAGAGGAGAGCACAGATAAAAATCCAAGTTTTGTTTTGTTCAGTAGTTTCATTTCCACTTTTTGCTTCCATGATCCACATATAACTAACACGAGTTGACAAGCTGAAGCAAAGCACTACCACCTCTCTCTGGGGGAGGTGGGGTGGATTTAATCTCCCTGTTGCTGGATTCACTGGGCTCTGGATCAGATCCCAAGTTTGAACAGTCAGGTTTGAGACTATTTCTAGCTTGCATTTTCCTTAACCTTTTAATTTATTCCGCCTCACAAGACAAACAGCATGTTGTTTGGTTACTAGTTTCCGTTTGGCAGCACCACAGCTGCTGCTGGCAGAGCTAACCACTTGGTGAAGAAAAAGGGAAACTCAGTTCCATCAGGTTTCTGCGCATGAACACATTGACCAAGCAGAAGTTAGCTTTGAAATCAAAGCCAGTTTCAAAGTTGGGCTAGCTTGCTGGTGTCTTTTCCCAGCTGAATTTTGAGTATCTGCACTCAAGAGGTTGGGAAACCCTTCAGTCCCTGTTCTTGTTCTCAATATTTTAACAAACCCATACCCAGAAATTCTGGAGGCAGCAAAGTGGTGTGCAAGCGCCAGTCTAAAAAAGTAAGGCTCTTTCACTACCTCTTTCAGTAGTAGAAGGAAGAAGTCATGGTTACAATGACTACATGTTACATGTTTCTAGAAGATGGTTACATGTTTCTAGAAGATGGGGTTTGCTGAGAACAGGCATGCAGTTAAGTTCTCAAGAATTTTTTTGGGTATTCTGTTTTTTTTTTCCTGCATCACAGAGCAAAATTCTCTATATATGACTGCACTGAGATACAACATTTCCTTATTTTGGAATATTTCCTTATTTAAAATAGTGATACTATACATGGTGACAGATTAATTAGATTTAAATAACTCAGTCCTTAGGAAAAATGCTCCAAGATGAGGAGATACAGATGCTGCCTATTCAAAATATCTAAGACATAATTAAACCAGAAAAGTAATAAAATGTTGAATTTTTACAGTGATGGGATTTTAATCAGCAGTTGTGTGGCAAAATCCATGGTCAGCTGTAATAAATGCTCCTTCTGCTTCAATTTGTGAGAACATTTGCAGCTGTTGAAGAAACAGGCATCTTTGTGTCTTAGCCAAACAATACATAAAATATTCCAGAATAATGGTGTGCAGAAACAGGTGAGAGAGCTGTGTGTTAACAGATAGACTTGCAAAAGGAAGTGTGAGGGAATTGCTTGCCTCTTACAGTCACTGGATTGTGAAAGTGGAACTCATTTAATGGAAATCCTTGAGGGAGAAACATTAAAAATCATACCTGGTTTCAGTTTCTTGTCTACATGGAAGCTGTATTCATGTCATTTAGAAAGATTGTATGAACCAATTTTTAACAGTTTTTAAGCAAGTGCAATACATACCATGTACTATCCTGCTTTGACTCAACTCACTACAGACATGAGCCCACACCATATATTATTTAAATGTGTAAGTTGACACAATATATAGGATTTAGAATTGGAGAGAATATGAATTATACAACAGAAACCCTTCAGTGGGCTTCATAGTTGAATGTTTAATCCAAAAATTAAGATGGACGCTAAACTTAAAGTCAGAAGGACTTGGTGGGTAGTTAGATAACTGAGCAAACCATCACGCCTATTTGTCCTGCTCTCAGCTGTGAGTTTAGTGAAGATCTCACTGGAATATAGGGAAAGCAGATGTAACTGAGCTGCAGAATCAGGATGGTGGTTTTGAGTGGCTGTTTTCTGATGAAACAGATTCAGGGAATCCACATAGTGAAGTCACTCTTCAGTGTGACTGTGGCTCTCTCAAATTTTAATTTTAACACAGATTGACAAAAGGTACAAATACTATATAAAATAAAGAGTTTTGATGGAAGGAAGGAGCCCAAGACATCCAGATCCTTTCACCTGTTTGGTGAAACAGAAATGTACAACAATGAGAAAGGTGTCCTGCTGAGTCTTGAGTCAGCTACAGAAACCAGATAGAGGAAAAACTGGGCTTCACTAGTTCTCTAGTTCTGGTGTTCAAAGAGTGACCTTTTTTTTTAAATCAGAAGTGAATTGTTACTCTAAAGGGAATATAATGCAGCCTTGATACTCCTTTTAAGAACACTGAAATCAGGATATGCCAATTTAGTAAAGTAAGCTTTCAAAATGGGCATGACACTTTTTATTTTCAGCTGAGCACTTCAAAAGCCATCAAAATAGATGTTACCTTCTGTTCTGGAAACTGTCAGAAAGCTATAAATAAGCATAAAATAATACAGGAGTAGGAAAAATTGTTGTGCCAGCAGTTAATGTTGTTGTTTCTAATTTTGTTGTTGTTTTTTTTCTTCTTTTTTACAGTGTGTCCTATTCAGTGCATGTCTCTGAGGATTACCCAGGTACAGTGCAACATCCTTGCCCGTGACACATGTATATACATGTTACCACAGTTTGCTATATTCAAAAGAGAATATCTGAAAGGGTGTTGATGTCTTCCAGGTGCATCTTGTACTAATCATTTTCCATTAGTTAAGATTATTTTCACGGTCACTTCCCCTTTTCAGGCACCATTTATCAGCTGGGTCAGGGTGAGAACACAGGTTCACAGGTTGTAGCTCGGGGTGCTGGTGCCAACAGGGATAGGAGTGAGAAAGTGCCCAGCGTCTCCTTGGCACGCTGGATAAAGCTGGATCTGTGAGGAGCCTGAGGAGGCTGGCGCAGGGCCAGCCGAGCGCTTGTGCTGGAGGCCTGAGCGAGGCTGCTGGTGCTCTCCAGGTTCAGCCTGCAGGCTCTGTGCCTCCCGGGGTCAGCCGGAGCCAGGCACTCGTGTGCAGCAGCTCTTTGCTAGTGCTGGCTCCCAGAGGGGCTCCCAGCTGCTCAGCACAGCCTCCCGTCAGTGCTTTGAGCTGGGCTGGCAAAGGTGTTTGTGTAACCACGCGGCCAGTCTTGACGTGGTGTGTTATTCATAGGAAACAGAAGCAGGTGAGGACAAAAGCAAGCTTTCAGGGAGCCTATTTCCCCAATTTCCTTCACAAAGACACTGCACAGATTCTTCAGGCAGCACAGGCTATCAGAAGCAGAAAAGTGGGGATGACAGGTGCTGTGCAAATAAAGGTTTATGGTAGCACTGTTGGACTGCACCACATTGTGCACCTGTGATTATTTAACGCTGTAAGTACTGTGAATGATATGAAACCCTCTGCCCTTTTTTGATCTTTATCTGTAGCTTTTCTGAAATGTTTCTCAAAGAAGTATTATTTCTTTTAGAAACGCTAAAGAAGTGTAACTTTGATCTTCTTCATTGATAAGCAGCAGATTGTGTCTCATCAAAACACCAGTGTTTGAAGCAGATAGAGAAAGAAATCAACAGTGGTGCCAAAAAAATGGATTCTGTGAAAGAGTGCTAAAACCTCTATTAGATTTTTTTTTTTTTACCAGTAAAAACTGTGGAGGGGAATATTATTAGTCTATTCAACATTTAGAAATGGGAGAAACTCAGATTCATAAAATGCACAGTCATACCAGTGATAAATGGATTTACAGTTACTGCATTGAGCTGACAATGAACAGAGGGACAAATAGTTGAAAAAAATCTTCACCATGTGTTATTAACAGTTTCTTCCATTAAATATCACAAAATTTGACCTCTGGGAACTTCTACATAAATGGTAAGCTGAAGCACTGAACCAGCAGCAGTTACTTGCACAGCACATGGGAGCTCATTTCCTGGCTAACTCTTCTGTCCGATAGACCTCAGAATTTCCTTCTGAGTGTTATTTGCAGCATGTCCTGATAGCCTACAAGCTTGAGTGACTTTAGTGTCCCTGAAACCTGATGAATATTCTGTGCCATCACGCCCTATATTTTAAAGGCAGATAGCAATTGAACATTTCGCACTGTAGTTAGCTTGGAGCAGAGAGTAAATCAGTACATGTTTACTGATTAAAATCCAGTCCTTCAGGCCTTTAGAAGAGCTGATTTCATTCACATCTCAAGCTTTTGCAGGATATAAGTGTGCTTTATGATGATGAGATGTTCAGTGTGTTGGGAGCAATAAGGACTTTCTGCCATTTTGCAGCTTTGATCATAAAACACTCATTTGGACTCAGTGAGCCCAATAATTTGTCACCAGTTTTTGTCCTAAATTTCTAACCTAATGTTATTGCTGACTGTGTCTTCCTTTTCTGACATGTGTCTTAAGGAAGGTTTCAGGGGTGTATCAGGGTGTGATGGTGTCAAGTCTGGGACGTTCTGTGCTGATGTCCTCAGCTGGAAGGTGTTCTTCAAGTACTGCTGCAAGGTGATAGAGTTCAGAGCAGCATGTGCTCTCAAATTAAATTTCTCACAGGATAAACCTTTACAGACAAAGGTTTGAGTCCATTAGTGCATAGCTACAGCAAACTTTTATCCTGTGTAGATTAAGACTGTGTAATACAGAGTGGATCAGATTTGTAAATCCAAGACAAGGCTGTCAGAGTTGATAATCTGATAAATTGCTAATGTGTGGAATAAATATATGAAAATAGGTGACATTAGGCCACGATACAAGTGATGTAATTCAGCTAAAATGCTACAACCAAAAGTAAATTTGGATACTAAATGAAGAGCCTTGAGTAGATACATACTCCCACAGCCTGCTTTGCTGTAATGTATGCAGCATCAGCACTTTGGTACTGCCAACAGTGTGTAGCTGTTGCTGAATTACTTATTGAAGCATCAAATAGGGGCAGCTGGGTTTTAAATTGTACCTATGGAAACCGTAATGTGACCTGACAACTTTCAATATTGGAAGGTGTTTAAAGGTTTCATATTTAGGAGTGAAAGCTAAAAATGTGCTCACAAAGGCAGACTGAGGACTTAACAGTAATAGTGTTGAGATGGTAATGTCTGAGAGTTACATATCCATTGCTGGAATTGTGAAAACATAACTGAAAAGTTTAGAGCCAGGTAATAACAGTCTCAGCAAAGTATCACTGTAACAATTTTCTCATAACATTGACACAACTGAAGAAAATAATTCTTCTAAGGAGCAGTTATAGAATATAACGTCCATGAATAGACTGAAGTCCCACTTACATGAGTGTATCATGACTCCTGTGGGAACCAGCAGTGCAGCAAGCATTTTGCTAATGAATTTATGTTCAGAATGATTTGTGTTGGCTGACAGAAACTTGAAGAACTGCTGTAGTCTTTTATCCCAGTGATTTGTAGATTACACACCTTTTTAGACTTCAATAGATTGCAGCAGAGATGGAGAGAACCAGTTTGGCAGCTCATAGTTTCCTGCATCCCTCTGCTAGGTCCAGGCACTATGTCCTCCAGTGAAGAGGGCAAGTGGTCCTAGGTGTCAGTGTTAGAAACAGGTTGTTGAAGGAAACAAATCAAAGCCATTATCTTAATTTCAAGTCTCATCATATTGATGGAAGGAAAAAAAACTCAAATAGCTGCTGAATAGCAGAAGAAAAAAACCAACTTGGCAGTGAAAGTCATATTGTCCAGCTGCCAAGAAAAAATGACAATGGATGTAAAAATACAGTAAAAATCTATAAAACCTGTAGCTGAGCAGTCCTTTCCCATATATGTATGTCTGTTATGTACAGAACATACTCTGTTCCTAGTTTTCTGTACAGCAATAGGCTGTAGCACAAGGATTCCCTCTCTCCCTTCCATGTATGTGGTGTTAGGTCTTTTTAGAGCCAAATGATGGCCTCAGTTATCTCAGTTCATTAGACTCTATAGCAGTAAGTTACACTCCCAAAACTGGGAAACAGATGTGCTTGTGTTGTATGTGCAAGGTGGACATGGAAATGATGGTGACGAGATAGAGAATGCAAACAGAGTCAAGGCAGGGCTTCTTGCAGAGGGCAAGCTGCAGCTGTCCTGCCAATAGACAAAAGTGGGAGAAGGAATGAATGCTGACCCCGCTTAGTTCACACGATGCCATGGCTGTAAAACATGTCCCCGTGGGCAGTGTGTAGCTGAGCAGCCCCAGAGTGATGTTCTGCTGTGCCCTCAGGAGTGCAGGGCTTGGCCATCGGTGGTGTTGGCCTCCTGCAGCATTGCCTGCACACAGCCTGTGTGTGTGGAGCCAGCCCCAGATCCCTCAGATTGCCTCGCTGGACAGCACAGGAGTGGGAGTAGGCGAAGGTGTGAGCAGAGTCAGACCTGGCAGGTGTGTGTGAGTGTGGCAGAAAGGCTGTTTTGCATTGGCAGCCAGGAAAACCCATCTGTGTGTGGGGTGTAGCTGCTGCCCTGCCCGGCCTGGCGCACCGTGCAAGGAACGGCCGCAGCCCCGTGCTCCCTCTTGATAAAGGTGGCCGAGAACTGCTGTGATACAAAGGGTGATATTATTGTACTTTCCTCCCAATTAATGTTAAGACCTGCAACATTTCACTGGGAGCACTCAAAAGCTTTGGGGCTGCAGCAGTATGCCAAAATTGCGTGTGATTTCATGCACGTTGCTGATGTGGGACCAAAGTGTTTAAAGTTATAATATGTAAGTCACTTTATCTGTGATTATCCTAATTGCTGGCCTTTTTGCTCTAGAGCATAGGTTTCAATTCAGCCCAGACCATTTGAAAACAAAGTATCATTACTTTCATAAGCAGTTCAGCAATACATGCAAAATTAACTCCTGCAGATAGTACAGGAGACCCTGCTGCTTCTTGGTTTTTGTTAGGAAACATTAAGTTGGAAAGAAAAAAGAAACCAAACAAAAAACAAACAAAAAAACCCCAAACAAACAAACAAAAAAAACCCAACAAAACCAAAAAACCCAACAGACACATTCCGCGGTCTAATCCCTACATTTTTTAAAGAAAATTTCGTGAAATAGTTATAATATTCATACATACCAATGTTTAGGTTAAGTGGAAGGGATTTCTGTTCTCCCTGAATCAGGTGGAAGAAAGGTTATCCACAGATTTGAAGACACTCAAATAACCTTTATGAGGCTAGGCAAAATAAGGCACAGGTATTTGGCATAATTGGCTGTTAACACCCAGCTCTCAGTGCAGCTTTCACTCTGCTTATTAGATCTAGCTTGAGTTTTGGTGTCAGACGTAGCAAAAAACAGAGAACAAGTATTAATTTTGGGAAGGGTTAGCCACCCTAAGCCTTGTGGGTTGGTTCAGAGCAGAGTTTGGTGTGATTCACAAAAGCCATGACATTACACTCCATGGTTTTGCTTTATAAAGTTTGGGTCTGAATCTCCTGTACTTATAATATTTTTCTTTTTGTTAACAATTTCAAGGGATGAAATCCAAACACACCAGGAAGGTGGTAATGCTCAGCTTCCCTAAGCATCTGGGGAGTGGTTCCTTGTGACAAAAATCTGGGATAGGAAAAATTGGAAGGGGCTGACAAAACACAATGGAACTTCACCATGCAAAGTGTTTTTCTTTTGTAGATAACACTTATGTTTCCAGTTCTGATAACGATGAAGATGTGTTAGTTACAACAGAGCCAATTCCAGTAATTTTCCACCAAATTGCTACAGGTAATCCTATATCCACAGAGTTTTATCAAATTCATAATTTTGGAGGAAAGCAAAGATGTTGTCTGAACTTAGAGGGAGATACGATGTTAAAGGGTTCAGCTGTACAGTTTGCTATTTTCTCTGGGCTTGTTCTAGTAAATTGTCCAACATTTCAGAATAGAAGAAATTAAAATATTTCTTCTGGGGATCACTACAATTGTGTGCAGAATGTATTTTTTGCTTTTAATGTCTTGCAGCCTGTGCTAGAGCAATTCCCCTTGAATACAGCTAGAGATGCTTAATACTTTCCAATTATGAGTTTTCATGATCACTTGCTTAAAACTTCACTAAATCTTCACCACTGCGGATGAAACAGTCTGTAACTACTACTGCCTCTGGTGAATTATTTCAGGAAATGGTTCAGCTGTTTCACTAAATTCCACTATAGAAAAATGATTTGTTTTTTCCCAAATGATTTTGGGGGCCCTCTCATTATAAATTATTTCCTTATTTTCAAAAAGTACTTGATACATGAAAGGGTATGCTTGTGAGACATACAGACACATTTGTATTGTATTTAATAGAGATTTGTGCACACACTTCATGGAGACAGTTTAGATTCTAGAAGACAAATTCTCTGATTATTTCAGGCTCCAGAATAAACTGCAAGAGCACTCTTAATTCTGACAGGTCTTCAGATAGGAACACTTGACTTTGTAATATTATTATTATTATTATTATTATTATTATTATTATTATTATTATTATTATTATTATTATTATTTTATACTTTTTTGCATAACAGAGAATTGTTTTGAATTCTACTGGGGGACAAGTATGATCTTTACTCTCTATCTCATTAATACAGATGTAAATCAAGAATAATCTTACTGAAGTTATTGCAGGGGCACACAAACACAATCTTGCTATTATCATCAGAAGTTTGAGATAAATTTTACTTGCAAATATTTCTTTACTTTGAATAGAAATTAAGCCTGTAATTTACAATACAGTAAAAACCTGTCTTTTATATAGAAGATTTTGTTTTCCTGAGGGGTTTGATTTTTCATTTTTTTAATAAATTACAGTAAATTAATGAATGATACTAAATTGTAAATCAGAAATTGGGAAAAAAAATGTCCTAGATGGATCAGCTGAGTTCTATTCACACTTTAAAAAAGTCTTCTGGGAAGTAGAGGCTTCCTAATTTTAGACTGTTGCATTGTAAACTCTTTGATGTATTTCATATCTGTACTTTCTGTTCCTTATTTGTTCTACTACTGCAACTAAGAATTCCAAGTCTGCATATGCAAAACTACTTTCACTTTTTTTTCCACATGTATGTTCCTTGTTTTCCTTTTTTTTGTTCAAGAATTAAGAAAAACCAATGATGTCAACTATTGCTTATCCATAAAGTCAAAATTACAGAGGGAGAATGGAGAGGTATGTATTTCTTGTATGCATATTTAAACAGAAATTATTTTAAGGAACAAAAGAAAATAATAGAATATGAACATTTAACATAGACTTCCTATCAAAATGTGCTTATTCAATCTGTGCATGTTTACATGTTTTAGAAGGTTACCATATTTCTCTGGGTTTCATAAATGGATTAACCAGCAATTCACTTAGTTGGGATAGAGATTCCCTTCTATTGTAGGAAATATTTTTTGGTGTTTCATTTTTTGTCCAACAGTGTTATAGACTCTTTTGGCCCTAGATTACAGCTCTCCTGGAAAGGTAGATAGTGATTCCATTACCTTTTAACCTACTCTGGCACATAAGACCTCATCTCAATTACTTCCTCCTGAGTGCTCCTTCATATATCCCCCAGCAATCCCACTGCAGACTCTAGACCTGTGTAGGATCTTCTCATCATGAACAGGGTCTTCTTGAGTGTTAGGGTCTTCCAGGGCCAGTGGCATTTACCCCATGCCTCTTGCACAGCTCTCTGACCAGTTTTGCTGAGGAAGAAGAGGCACAAAGGTGAAATCCGCACTTGGGGCTTGGCCATGTCATGGCCTCAAAGAAGGCACCACAAAGGCTCCTGCCTCAAGTGGGGGGTTGAGCATTGTCAGGACTTCAGGTGCTTGACCTAAAGTCTTCCTTTGGTAAGGGTGGGTGCTGAGTGCTCTGGAAATGGGAGGTAAGCATTCCTGGATGCCATGTGTATCAGGTGTTTTAGTAAATGAGATGTCATTTGACGTGAAAATCTGCACTGAAAATACTTTGCTTCTTCTGCCTCATCATTGTATTCAGTGCTCTGTGAACATAAGAAAAACAAGTGTGGGAAGAATTTACCCATTTCTTTAAAAGCCTGAAATATAGTTAGCTTCTGTGGGACTGAGTTTGAGCTTCTATTTTGTTTCTAGTTGAATCAGGTACTTAAATGTGAAAGTACTGAGAAAAACCCCTTTATAAAAAAATCTCTTAAAACTGATGATTTCTGTTGGCTAGGCAGTTCAAGGTTTGGTTAGGTTATGATGGGTTTGTCACAATTCTAATGTGAGAGTTCTGTGTGGAATTTTTGTTCAGTTGATTTCTGTTTTGAAACATACTTCCCTCTGAAGCAATTTTATTATAAAACAAAGAAGACTAAAGTTTTTTTTAATCTATTTTCAGTGAAGTAGAAGCAGAAATTATTTTTCATGTCATGGCAGAAATTGCCATGAGATTGGGTAAATACACCTTTGCACTGTATGTATACATACAGTGAATAGAGTAGGAACTTAGAGGCAGAGGTAGTAAATGGGATTGCAATATCTGACCACAGAAATTGGTGATAAGTGTATATACATACTGACGTTTATGGCTGTGGAATTTAAGGGTAACTTTTGCTTTTTTGATTAATATTTCTGATTTCTATTCCATTATGGCATGTCTGTGTAGAAAATGATTAAGAAAAAAGGGATTGAATACATTATATTCAGGCTGAAGAGTGATGATTTTAATAGACATTCTTTAGGGGCTACTAGTCACCATAGGAAACAGAAATAACACATGCATTGTGGGAAACAAGAATTACTCTCTCAAGCAATTATATAATTATAAGTAAAGGCTCTAGTGGTGGGAAACAGAATATAACATTTTATCTCATGCTGAGTTGCAGTCAGTAGCAGGATCAGTTCAGTTTACTTGATATTATTCACAAAGCAGCCTATTTGGAGCAGGATTTACTTAGGTAAGCATAGGACTCTCTAATCCTTACTTTTCACTGTCTCAGAAAAGAGCTACTCAGAAAATTAAGTTTGCAACTTTCCTAGCACTAGGATGGAACTTCTGTAAAAAATAATAATTAAGCAGCAGAGTGTCAGGCTTTCACAGAAGGAACCATAAGATATTCCATGTTTGGACTTGTTTCCTGAAACTATTAGGGTTTAATTATGAGAATAAAGTAAAATAAAGATGTAGTAGGTTGCTGACACACCAAAATATCTATGTCCAGAACCAGTCTTGATGAGAAAGTTAGGCTTTGTTTAGCAAAAGCACAGAGTGAAGTATCCACACAAGGTCTGCTGAATTTTCCAGTTCTTTAAAATACCATGCTGTGTTTCTAACCACACAAGTATTATTTCTCCAACATATATTCAAGGTGTTTTTATGTACCCTATATTAGGTGCTTTTTTCATGTGATATTTCATTATTCTTAAAAAGGGTCCTCTGGAAAAATTATACTAAAAGATCTCTTAAGAAAGGATGCTATGAGTTTATTCATAAAAGCATAATTCCTGTAGTTACATTTAGATCTGTACATGTAAGGTCAACATTGTTTTTATCATTGTTAACTTTCCTTTTCCATTAAGGAGTCACGACACAGCAGCACAGTTGAAGAGGACTCTGAAGGAGATAATGACTCTGAGGAATTTTATTATGGAGGACAGGTAATGCAGGAAATTTTTTGCACAAGTTCCAGGAAAGTAATATTTGAGAGTTCTTATGTTCATTCTATTATTAATTTATAATATTGTTTTTCTTATGTTTTTTTCAGTGTTGAGTAGAGTGGCATGTGTGTATATGTACATAGCATTTTATGGCATAAATATTGAATGTGTTCAAAGTTATAATTGCAACATTTTCAAAATAACATCACTTTGCTTGCTTTTGCAAAGCTATAAAAATGGAAAAAGCAAATACCCCTCAGAAAGCTTGAAAATAGAAGCTACTTGCTTACTTCCAGGAAACAGATAACTGACTCTGTAAAGCTTTTACCCCATTATTAAAACAAATGGGAAGTCAGACTGGATCCAGATCTGTTTCCTTTCTGGAGAATCCATTTTTTAAACTAAAGAGCACTGCATTTTTATGGTGAAAATTGTTATTACAAAACAATTTTGGTCTAGGCAATAGTCCATTCTTTTTCTGAGCTCTAGAGTAAAATTCACCTTGAAAAATGCTGCATATTTTAGATGATTGCACTGCTCTGTGTCTTTCCTTCTTGTTCCCTCAGCAGAATTAATTCTTGCATTCTCTTGTGTATTGGGCAATAAAATTTTTTTCATGCCTTTTTCTTTTGCAGTGTGCTTTGCGCTGCTAGTCTCTTTATTCTGATGTCTCTTGTTTTGTAGCCTCAATGTTGCCCCAAGGAGTCATTCCTCGCTTACGTTTATTAGAACTGTTTATTTTGATGAACACTTTAGTGAATTACGGTCGCTGTTTGTGAAGGTTGTCCCTTACCTCAGCCTTGAGGCTGAAGCCATCCGTGCCCTGGGTGCAGAGCCAAGGCTGCAGGAGCACGGCAGCAGTGCCAGCGGGGTGGGTCGGTGCAGAGAGCGTGGGATGCTGATGAGCAGGACATCGCTGAGCCTCCTCTCCTGCAGAGCCAACAGTGCAGTGGGGCTAGCACACAAAATTCATGTTGAGGCGCTGTACAGTTTAAAAAAAACAAACCAACAAAACCCCACAAACAAACAAACCAACAAAAAAACAACACCATGCCCCTGAAAAGCTATTAAAAGTTATGTTGAAGCTTGAACTGAAGTGATTTATTTTCTTTGAAATAGCCAACATGGGGAATTGACTCATGTTCGCTTTAGAAATGACTGCAGGAATTGCCTCCCTTCAGCTGCTGACTCCTACAGCCCCATGCTGGGGAGTGCTGGGGAGGACCATACACATAATTCACTGCAAAGAGAGATGTTTTATTTTAATCTGCCTGAGAGGAAAAAGCTTCTGATCTTGTCCTGTAGTGATGAGTTGTGTGTACTCGCTTCATTTTTCAACTCCAAAGGAAGGGCAGTAACCTGAAGGTGAAGGAAAAGGCAAAAAACAGCTGGGAGTGCTTATTTCTTGTACCAGGGCTGATACATTTGGTCCTTCAGATCCCTGGCAATGCCCAAATGGATTAATAAATATTAGCACTGCCTGTGAGTTATGAACACAGATAGCAGTACAGCATTTTGCAAGGCATAAAAGACCTGTGTAATAGACAAGACTGGTTAGAATTTAAGTGCCTGATATTAAAATGGAAACTAGATTATATTGCATTGTCTTCGCTATGAGGTAGTACATTTAATTGAAGGAATAACTGGCAAAAAAAGATCAGGTCTGTAATAAAAATAAAATATCAGTTGATTATTACTGTTTTGAATATAAAATATCCATAAACAAAATACAGTGAACAAGAAAAGAAAAAAGGCATCACAGAAAGTGTATTTAAAAAGAGGAAAAAAGGACATTTTTAATTTAAAATTTCATGGTCAAAAAGATAGAAGTCTAATGAAGACATTTAGAATTAAAAAAAACCACTGAGGACTCAGAAAATAAATAGGAAATCAGGTAATGAGCAAAGTCCCTTGAAAGGCAAAAAAGAACAACCCTTTTTCAAGCAGAGGGATTGTAGGAGTTGTAGGGATTGTAGAGTTCCTTCCTTTGAGTCAGGTGCCCCCAGAGAGAGGGGGCAGAAATACTGACTCTAACAAATAGAGGGGAGAGATGCCAGTGCAACTGTGTGCGGTACAGTTGGGAAGGATGGAGGTCAGGGTAATTCTTAGCATTTCCAAGTAGCTGCAGCTGGAAAGGCAGGAGAGCTGCTGCTGATGAAACAAGGCCCATGGAAGATGGGAAGTGGCATTTGATGGGCAGTGTAAAGAAGATGCAACCTTTTGCTTGTAAATTAAATGTTTGTATCCACTTCCTAAACACCTGCTTGTAATCCTCCCTAAGGATTTAATGGATAAATACTTTAAAGTAGCTAAGTGGTTCAATAGTCTAAGGCCTATTGATTTTCAATGGGATTTAGGTTTGTAAATCGCTTAATCTCCTTCTAAAAAGCAACCTTTTGTAAAATAATCTGAATAAGGTCTCAGATAAAAAACAGACTTTCTGAACACAGACCTTTCAATCACAAAGCAAAGTTACCAGATTTTTTTAGCTTTTATATTCACTTTTTCAGCAACTCTACTAATTCTTTCTTTGAATCACTATCTTCTACATTTGCAAATAAGAACAGGAGATGAAAACAGAAATACTACTGCCTTTGGCTCTCTCTCTGCATGTCTCTTGTGCTTCTGCTACAAGACGTACTTGAAAATGCAGAAATACAAAACCCTGACAGCCTCCTCTGCGTACATCAATATGTCTGTGGCACTAATTCAGGGGTGGGAAGTACCATACTGTGGTCTTAAAATTTGCCAGAACACTGTTTTATTTCCTTTTTGACTTTATAGCCTCTTGCCATGAGAAAATAAATTAGAAAAAACATTATTTTTAGCAGTGTGGTGTTCTGCATAATGTTCCTTTTGTATTTTACTATTATTGAAACATAAGAGTGATTTAAAAATCTGGTTTAGGACCAACAAAGGTGGCAAGTGCACCACTGCTACGATTTGTGAAATGATTGCTGTGCTTTCTTTGGAAGCAGGACAGCAATTACTTACGCATCTTTAAAGAATTCTTCTTTGAGTAATGAGCATGGAAAAAGGATTGGTTTCCCCCTACCTAAAGTGAAAAAAATTGCAATAACAATTTTCTTCCCGTGCTCTTCTACTTGGAAAATTGTTCTGACATGCCTGCCCAAACCAAGGAAGGATACTTTTTTATAATCTTCTGGTTATGGATAACATTTATATCTTTGACAAATACATGTCCATGCCATGCTGATGAGTTTTGTGCCTTATAGTTAAAGAATTCTAGGTCTAAGTCTAATCAAATTACTTTCTGCTGATTTTCAAATGTAAAAACGTGATCATCTGATTATTATTTTAGTACTACTGACATTTAATTAAATTGAAAAGCACATCTCTAAGTATCAGAGCTGAAAGTGTCATAGAACTGGTTTCCTATAGATTTGGGTGTACAAATGAAAGAAATAGTACTGCATATGGATGTGGCTCTGCAATAACAAGAATTCTCTGCAGCATTCCTGTGTAAGGTTATATATATAATGTGTGGGTCTAAAGGGATAAATTGCATTCTGCTGCTTTGGTTTCTGAATTTGTCAATGCTACAGACCAAATCCTGCGCTCATTTCTGAATCTGTTCAAATCTAGGGAGTTCATTGACTTCTGTGGAATTGCTGTCATTCTAATTGTTCTAAATACATAGATTTAAGTTCACACAATAAGGATCATTTTGCTTGAGAAGAAGGTAATAATAGACAGATGATGAATAGATTGTTACATGCCCAAAGAGGTATTTTGGACCTTGTAGAAGGCAGAAGGATATTAATTATTTTGACTTCATACAGTCCAACCAAACCATTTCACAAGTTTTACTTTTTGGTATAATCACAAACATAACTTTTTCCATTTTTCATGTAGAGTTTGAAGAAAAAAGGGGGGGTTGGTGTCTAGATGTATACTTCTTTATACCTTCTTTGGTGTAATACTTAACGTGGGAAATTGTTCTTTTAATTTTATTTTCTTCATCTGATATAATTGCACTGTTGGGCAGAATGTAGCCAGTAAGTGAGCTAAAAATGTAATTTAAATGCTGGAGTGCTGGGTATAGAGAATAGTTTCATGCTTCTCATGTGCCCAAGCCATTCTGTGTCTAGTATATATGAGAGTGGGACAACAAAGCAAGAGTGAGCAAACCTTTGTGCTGTAATGGTTGGACTAGGATGACAAGACTGGGGACATGTGGTTCTTACCCTACTTAACATTTTTAAAATACACAAGTGTCCCAGAACAAACCCTGGGACAAAATAGGACAGATGGATGAGTCCTTTGCAGCTTCTCTTCCTGCAAACAGGAAGAGAATCTCAAAACACTTCAAGGCAGAGGTGCCTGCTTTGAAAATCTTACTGCTTTAGCAGATGAGGTCGCCTCAGGGCTTCAACTTGTCTTTCTGAGTGTGGCATTAAAGAATCTTAATGCAACGTATTTTACAGAGAGTAAATAATCTAAATCAGGTGCCAGAAATGAAATACAGAACTCCCAAGAAATTTTTCTTTCCCCAACAGGTTAGCTATGATGGAGAACTTCACAAGCACCCACAGCTGGAGGCTGATTTAACAGCAGTGAGAGAGATCTATGGACCTAATGCAGTATCTCTCAGGTATGGCACTGGCCTTTCTGTACTGTGGAACCTTGAATGTTTTGGACTTTGAGTTCTCTGTGGACCTTCCCTGACTGCCAAAGCACAAGTGTTTTCTGGTCATCTCTGCATGTTGTGTGACAAAGGAGGGAGTATTGCAAACCAGCGTCAGTGCTGGGTTTTTGGGGGTTCTTTTGTTGTTCAGAATGGTTGCAAGTAGCTGTGCTGAGAACAGCCCTGTTCTAAAACATCGTCTTTTGCAGTTCTAGTCAGGCAGTTGTGTTTTCTTGTAAATTATTATTCAACATTTCTCTAAACCCTTGTTAAACTCTTTTTCTGTCATATTCTCTATTTTGCCCCGGAGGTGAACAAGAGGAAGGGTAAGAGATTTAATAAATACTTTCCCTAGGGAAGAACTGGAGGAATTGGATTTGTCTAGTCTAGGAGAAAAAGAGAGAGAGAAGACACAATAACAGTTTTTCTTCTTCAGAAAAGCTGTTTGTAGGTAGAATGAGCGATCAAATACTCTGTATTGTCATCATGAGAGAGACAGTAAGAAGCTAGGGTTTGATCAGAGATTAGGGAAGTTTTCAGATTGTGGGGATCTAAAGTATCCTACACAGGGACGCAGTAGAACCTTGGTGAGATGTGAATTGCTAAGAGTAATTTCACACTGATTCTGTTGGGCATACATGAAAGTGTACGATTCTGCCATAGTGCATGTCACGTATATATTTTAATAAGCATCAGGTATTTTATAACTTCATTTTCCATCAACGTAATCTTAATAATTCCATAAAAATAACAGGTAGGTAAGATGTAACAGACCTGTCCTGTATTGCAAGGAAAATACTGAAGTTATCATACAAACCAAGTAAGAAGAGAGACCATACCTACAGCTGTGGTGTACTATATCTTTTCAAATTAAATGGAAATTTATCACAGGTCAAGAACCTGGGGAATCGAAATCTGAATAGCTGTATATAGGTTTAGGAAATGGATAAATGTGTATTTTCTAAACTGATAACTATGAAATTCCTTCAAACTCCTAAAGTGGAAACATTATGTGTAACCTTTCGAAAACTTAAATGCATGTATTTTATTGAATCAGCTGTTTCACTGGAAACACTGTGATGCCCTTGAGCTCACTCTAGTAGAAACTGGCACCTGTGGCTGCTTTTGGCATGTGTAAAACTTTAATGCTTTATCCACTCTATTGCAGCTGAAAATATTTACAAATTCTTGGAAATACACCCCACAGCTTTAAGTGTTCATTTTCATCCTCCTTGTGCAGCTCCACTTCTCTAAGAAGAGACAAGTTTGTCTGACAAGGGTATTGACTGAGAGTGGATATTTCCTAGACAGTGGACCCTCCTTTCAGTAATCTTTTGCTGTCACAGAGTCAGTTTTACATGCAAAAGTGAAGTTTCTGTACCTGCATGCTTTTCACCACTGCCCTTAGAAATCTGGCCACAAAAGCCCTGAGAAAGTGATCCATCCAGCTGATCTCTTTACATTGCTTATTAATTTATGGGCAGAGGACCTCTGGGAGCTTCAAACTCAAGATATGTTGATGAAGCTATCAGATCGTAAGATGCAGGTGTTGGAATAAAACATGATTTCCTCCTCATGTCAGCTTGGGAAATTAAAACTAGAGTTAGCATCATGTGTCTAAAATCCATCTTCTAGGATAGTAGTGGGATGGGGGCAAAGGGATTTCAAGTGAATATGGAAATGTCACAGTTAAAACTAATTTTTATCTTATTCATTCTTCACTAATCTTTCTATTCCATTAGTTTAACCATTCCTCAGTTTTATTTATAAAATTTTTCTTGTTTACAGCCTTTTGAATCTCAGTTTCGTGAGTAACACCAGCCTGCATTCATAAAAAATTACTTAAGATACCATAAACATGTTTAGATCTTCTGGAAAGTGAACAAAAATGATGCCACTGATGGGTAGGGTAGTGGCTAAGCCATTCAGTAGGTGTAGAGCTTCCCTGTTTCAAAGCCAGGTTTTCAGTGAGCTGTAGGAGGTCACCTCTGGGTGAGGTGACACTGGAGCATCACTAAAGGTGGCTGGGAAGTCTCCTGTAATACAGGAGGCCCTGTCCTGCTGTTCACCTGCCCTGTGTGTGCAATGCGTGGGCAGACCTGATCTAGAGAGTGATCTTGGGTTTTCCCTGACCAGAGAGAACCATTGGGTTCCTGAATTTTAGTGGAAGGGGCTCCCTTCATTAAACTCTGCAAGAGCTCAAGCGATTTCCAGTGCAAACTCAGCCCTACCACAGCCGAGAGGTCACTTTGGTAGGAAACAGTTACATTTTACTGTTTCAAAACTGCCTTATTGACTGATTTATGCACAACTGCTGCTCTGCACTTAGTCAAGTTTAATAGAAAAGCATGAAAGTCACTGTGACAAGAAGCAGAGAAGTGGAGTTTTAAAGTTAAAAACATCCTAGTGGCTGAAAGCTAATCTGTGAAAATTTGAGATAGTACTTTTACAACATTGCCCACTTAAGTAATGTAAATGAAAAGGAAAACAGATTTTTGTTTAGGTGCATGAATAAGTTTTTTCTAGCTCGATTTTTCAGAAGTCTTCAAGTACTTTGGGGGAGGGCAGTCAGAGTGAGTCAGAAAATAAGAGGCAGAAAAGTTGCAGTTTAAATGTAAGATTGCAGATGGCAATGAAATACCTGTTAAATCTGAATCTTGCAATACTACACATAACAGATAAAACAGGTAACTATTGCCTGGAGCACATTACAGGGCAGTCTTTATTTTTGACAAACAAATGCTTGAATGTATGAAGCAATCCCCCAGGTATATCATGCCATCCTCTAGGCTATGTTGTATTTGTCTACAGTGGTTTATCTGAAGCCTATTCTTAGGTTACTGGCTGTTAACCCGAAATACTTTTGAAAATTAACAAGGGTTTTCTTGTGTCATAAATGGGAGTAGCATGTGACTATTAATTTTTCTTTGTTTATCTGTGCAATAAGTGAGACAGAAGTACATAACAGCAATAGAGAGATATTTTGGGGGAATCAGTGGAAAAGCAAACCTGTGTAAGCAAGATGCTCTGAAAAAAACTTCTAAGTGCAGGAGATGGTCACCCACTGCGAATATTGATCCAATCTATGTAAATGTGTATTTTATAACTATTCTGATTTTACAGATAAAATAATCCTTTATAAAATCTTCCATGTTGTAAGTACTCCTGGATTGAGGAGTATCTTAAAGAGCTCTAATGTAATGTAATTATTTCTTTTCAGGGAATATGGAGCCATTGATGATGTAGATATTGATCTACATATTGATGTTAGCTTTCTTGATGTAAGTAATCTAATCACAGAATTACATAATGAACATTAATACCCATTTAATTTCGCTACACATCAGACTCTCTAGACAACCACTGATACCGTCCCTTTTTTTGGGAGACTTGATCTTCACAAGTGGGTGTCACATTATTGATTTAATACACGGTGGAAAGGTTTTCTTCTCTTTTAGACCACATTGTTAAAATGCTGAGTTAGGGTTTTATTTGCTATATGTGTATTTCCTTCCAAACATTTTTTGTGAATGGTAAATGTTTTAATAAATATAAACAAAACACCATTATTTTTATGCTAACCTAGGCATGAGTCAGGAGAAAGCACTTCTTACACTCCTGAAGGGGGGAGGACTCTGTCAGGAGTGCTCCTGTACGGTGATTAGAGAGAGGCTTGACTGGCAAAGGGACAGTAGTGCTGTTTCTTGGCTGGCAACACGGCTTCTCTAGCTGTTGTGCTGTCATTCAGCTTCACACTTCCTCACCTCATCTGTGCAGCAACTTCCTGGCCTCTATATAATAAAGAACAAAAATGAGAACTTTTGAGGTCATCATTAGCTTCTGCACAGATATGTCTTATTTTCAGATCCACACAGCACATAAAACAGTTATTGAGCCTTACTAAATTTTTAAGAAAATCTGGTCATAGCTTGAATTATTTAGACCAGTTTTAAGGAGCTAAAGTTTCCTTAGCCCTTAGTTATGGGGCTGGTTTCTATTCTGTTTTTTTTTTTTTTGCTCCTTTGCTTCTCAGCTTTGAAGCAGTACCTGTTGGTAGATGGGAATATCTCTGCCTGTACGTGCAGTGTTGTGTATAAACCTCAGCCAAGAATTGGAAGTAGTCTGACACTGCTCTTTGGGGGGTGTTGACGTGCCATAATTTGTCCTGAATCTAATGTGTTATGTTGGAGTAGATGCTAAACAACTGGGTGAATGGATGGATGGTGTTTGTACCAACCCTAAGGCAGACTGACAAAAAGCAGTAGTTCCTCACAATGGCTAATGATGTCTGTTGGTTTCTTTTTGTCTTACACTAGGAGGAGATTGCTGTGGCCTGGGATGTAATTCGCACAGAGCCTATAATAGTGCGACTGCACTGCTCGCTCACACAGTACCTAAATGGTCCAGGTTGGTCAATTTTGTATTATTCTTGTGCCTTGTGTGGTGTGCAGTCAGAGCCATGGGGCAGACACTTACTACCAAATCTTTGATCCTGCTTGTGCTGACTTCTACTGCTGAGAGGAGTCCTATTGATTTGAAATTAGGCTTACACGTATTTGCATGGCTGGGCCCTTCCTAGTGACACAAGCATCTAATTTAAAGTTTCATAGGTTGATTTTGGGAACTTGTTTTCCTGATATCCTTTGAGATGCAACTGCTTCCCCTAGGAACCAGGGTTAAGCAGTAAAGATTGAGAGTTTCTAATATGTGATTTCCTCATTTTTGAAATCAAACATCATCTGCACCGATGAGGTATGACTGATAATGAAGACTTACACAGACCTGTGCAGCACATTAACATGCCCTTCTTCATGCAGCTTTTAAGAGCCAGTCCATGGTAATTGCCCTTTCAGCTTCTGGTTTCTACATAAGTATGTGACCTCTGGAAATCTTCAGATTTGAAAGAATTTTTAAGTGAGTAAAGTTTCCTCATTAGAGAAATGGTCAAGCTCATGAAGAATCAACTGATTTTGAAGATTTGGAAGCATTCATATATGAGAGTCAACTCCAGATATATTTTTACAGTGCAAATCAGACTCATTTGGATAATAGCTTGCCCAGACTTGGAGACTTTCAGTACAGGCTGTCAGTTCATGCTTTTGTCTGTGGGAGAACTCTGCCTCTGGAAAATAAATAGATATTTCCAGTCCTGTTCAGCAAAATCCGTCCCAGTGAGCTATTTCTGTAGGATATGTTGTCCAACAGTTCTAACTATAAGCTATATTCTGTTCATTCAAATAAGCATTTCATTATACCAATCTTTTTCTTCCCCTTGACTGTGGTCTTTTTGTCTGTGGTTTATTACTTCAATCATTTTTGTTAATATACAAATCTTAAAGTATGCATTTGCAATAGCAGGAAGCAGTGTTAAGTGTTCAGAACATTCCTATCAAAATGTAATTTAAAAAATAAAGAGGTGCAGCAAATATGGGAAGGTATGTAGAGCAGCGTGCCATGAGAAATGAGAAGTAACAAGAATATGTATTCTGACAAGGTTAAGGTGGCAAGCATAGTTCCCAGTGCTGCAGCTGGCTGCTTGTGTGAGTGCCGGAGTTCTGAGAAAGGCAGGAGCGGGGCCACAGGCAAGAACTTTGCTGACGTTGGCTTTATGAGCTCAGCTGCTGTTGCAGCCATGTCTCTTTATTTACTAGCAAAGCACAGTGAGATCCATCATCTTTTGTGTTAATTATGTGAATTCCTCTTCTGTTTTCTTGAGAATACAGAGCCAGAATTTTGTGCCGTATCTGTTTCTGCTGTACAACATTCTATTGATTGAGAAACAGGAACACAGTATATTGCAAAGCACAGTGGGGGATATGAGCACCACCCTGTAGCTGTGTAATATACTGATTTTAGGTAGTTCTTCTCGTTAATAGCTTGTCTCAGTAGTGTCTGTGTGGGCAGTTTGTCCCTCGTGCCTTAGAAACCTGTCTTAAGAGAGGATGAATCAGCCAGTGGAGGTATTAGCATGTCTCATCTGACTGTGGAGTCTAGACAAAAATTTTGGTCTAGGTGTCAGATTTTAAGATTGCTGGTTGGAGGTATAATAATATTTAAAGTATTCCCCATCCCACCAGCCCCCTGTAGAGTGTCTGAAATTTGACAATCCAAAGATATTGCTATACTTAATGAAATCATGCATCCCTTTTGAAAAAAATCATTGGTTTGTTTTTAAAAGATGAGTTAATGTTTGATGTTATTTGAATAGTAACATTAGAGGAGAGGTAACTACTGACCTTTGAACTAAGTTAAATTGCATGGCAAACTTAGATATATTGTATTTTATTATCAAATTTAATCTCATAAAGCAGAATTAAAGTGCAACTTGGATATTCTGAATAAAATTCTGCTGAATGGTCAGAATAATACCGAAATATTGATTTTCCATTTCTAATAAAATTTGAACAAACTCCAAATTTTTTGTTTTAATTTCTTTTTTATTTTACCTTGCTCATTATCACCTTATGTGATACAAAGTATGCAGTCTGTTTGTGCTTGTAATATGCTTTGGTTGTTGTCCTGCCTTGAGGCCCTGTGGCTCTCAACAAGTACTGGCTTCCATCTGTCACTTCTGTCTAGCAAATGTTATTGAAGGATTTTTGTAATGCCACTAGCTAATTGCCATCCTTTACCCTGTACGTTTGCAATTTCTGACACGAATATGCATATACCAATGTTAGGATAGGCCTTGAGGACATTTCAGGGTAATTCTTAGCCACTGAAATTCACATATCAGGCACTTATATGATGGTTTATAATCTTGTAATAGAATACCCTCAAAAACAAAAGCCAGATACAAATGAATTCAGTTTCAGTCTGGACTTTCTTTGTAGCCACAGGATTTCTGCTGTGTATAGACTACTTACTTGGGAAAAAAGTTTAAAATATTAGGTGAGATGAACTGCTGGTCCATATACATTTAATCTGATGCTGCTTGCCACTTGCATAGTGTATATGTATAAAACGACATATTTTTGTAAATAAAATGAGTGGGAAGAGATACATTTGCGAGAATTCCATGTGTAAAATTGTAAATTATGTTGGCTGAGGTTTCAAAAAGGACTATTTCTTTCTTAATATGCTTAGATGACATGTCCACCCTTGCCATTGTTTAAATTTAATTGTCTGTAGTCAAGCTCCACAAAGAAGAAGGTCCTTAAATAAGACTTAGGTGGTCACAAGTTTGTCATTACTGCTGTAAGTTCACATATCAACAAAATATCCTTTTTCCCTAGTGCCAACTGTGGATGTATTTCAGATCTCTACTAAGGAAAGATTTGGGCTGGGACATCAGCTGAAAAAGTAAGTCTAGAAAAGTACAAACCCATGTTTATAGGCAAATATTGCACTCTTTTAGTTACTGGACCGTGTCAAGTAGAATAAAATTCATGTTGTCAGGTTTGTTGTTGGATCAAAGTATCTTGAAGTTGTTTATCTTTAAATAAAAGTCAATATTTACCATACTAAGTTTGGATTTGACAGCTGTTGATGAGAACTTGATTTGTGTTACTTGCCAGAGTTTTCTGTCATTTTGGTGCCTTTTAGGAAGTAATCTATAAAAGGTATAAAGACCATATCTTGGAATGTTCAATTTCATGTTTCTGCTTAGATGGTGAAGCCTCTGAAACAGGAGTCTTTTTGAGCCCCATGCATACCCTGGGGGGGCTATGCTTTCATGGTTGCCTCTAGGATATACCACAGAAATTAGGCCATCCATGTTTTGAGGACAAGGTGGAAGGATAGTCAAAAAAACTGGCAGTTTCATGTGGTCATAGTACAACTCTTTTTAATACAATTTTGCTGAGTCATGTCTTTGCATATGCTTTTATACATGTGATAAATTTTTAAGTATATAGGCTTTAGTATCTCACCATTACAACATTAAGAAACCCCTGAGGTAAAAAAAAATCCTGTTTAGTGTTTTAAGAAATTCAGTGCAGCTTTCTCATGTTCTTACAAATGAAGTAATTTATTAAAATCTCTATGGTACATGACTTTGAAAAAAAAAAAAAATACTCCCTCAAAATGTTCTCTTAAAATGTTTTGCAGTTTACCCCATCTGTGATTTTTGCACCAGGTAATTACTAAAGGTTCCCATATGGCATTTTCAAGAACATAGCTGCACAGCTCACAACTGAGCAGGAGTAAAAATTCCCATGGGCCCAGTGGTCCCTCATGGCTATGGCAATGGGATATTTCTCTTTCTCACCAAATTCAGCCTTGACTTTTATCACTATTATGACCCCCACTGCCAGATTAGTCAGAGAATAAGATTCTGCTTAGCCATGCAGATGCAGTAGCCTGTGGTCATGTGAGAGGTAGACCCCTATAGCTGGATTTGATGCCCTTGACTCAGTTTGTCTCTAGACCTCCATGATAGGTATAATCTGCATAAGTTTTGCAGTTGCAGTGGTTCTTTACACAGACTGTATCCTCATTAGGAGTCCCATATTAAATTAGTTCTATGTGGAAAAAAAAGGCTTTTTGAGGATCTGGGGCACCCAATCACTATTCTAGCTAACACTGTCAGTGTTCTGCCACATACAAGACAGAAAATTTCAGCTGTAGAGTGAGAACACTGCGTTGTCACCTGCGTGGTGACCACTGAGACCGTAGTGTTAAAATGAGTACGTCCTGGCTGGGATAAGAAAACCTTTCTTTTCTGTCTTAATTTGCAGAATCATGCAGACATTTGTTACACAACAGTGGAAGAACAGTAAAGAAAAATCTAATTGTACGCACAATAAGAAGGTGTCTGACAAAAAGGTGAAATCCCCTCTGCACATCTTTTCTACATTGCGCAGGTAATAGCAAGAAAAATGGGCTGTTATTACCATAAACTGTTCAAAATCCACAGCAGACTTCACAAGGTGAAATCTTGACTTTTCTCCACAGAGAAGTTCTCTATTTATATCTTACCTCATGGGTTTCCTGTCCTTGCATTGCATGACATCAGGAGTGAACTAGGTATTGTTGCAGCTTCTAAGATTATGAGAAGCCAGAGCATTTCAGTGCTCTGCTCTCTGAAACAGCCATGTTACAACCAGAACTGGAAATAAGTAGTTTTATTTTAACTTGTGTTGGTATTGCTATTTTATCTTTACTTGAATAGCAAGAATAAAAATACAAGTCATATATATGTATAGCATATGTTGTGTGTATTTTAAAAAACTTTGTTTTTCCAGCTCTTCTTTATACAGCAGTTTGTATATTTAGTTTTTTTTAACTGGAATGATCATAATTGAAAGAATGATTTTTAAAGATGCTGAGCACCCTCCCCTCTCCGGTATTTGACTACATTAATGTTTTCCACTTCTGAAATGCAGGCACAGAATTTCAAAGAGAAAAGGCATTAGAAAGCGTAAGAAAGAGTTTATGAATAGTTTGAATGAATTTGAATTTAATACGATTTCTGCCAGTTGCTCATACTCGTAAGTATATGTAGAATCAGGCTCTGATTTTCCCTCTATCAGGGTTGTGACTATTTACTGTAGTGTGTTTTCCTGATTGTGGAGGGTTGACAGATCACCCCTTCGATTCAGTTACTGAATTTGAATCGAATGCTTCTTTGAATATTCCTTCTTTTTGATGAATTTTACCATTCTAAATTCAGAGTATGAAAAAGAGTTAGAGTACAGCAATCGCTCAGATTGAAAAAGGAGGGAATGCCAAAAATGACAAAACATTGTTTATGCAAAGGTAGAGGAGGAAAGACAGTGTTTTGAGTAGAAGTCTTATCCATTCCCTACCAACCAACGCACCGCTGCCAAGCACAGGCTGTAGCCTGGGGCTTGTTTTTATTCAGAATCCAAAATCAGCCCATTCTTTTCCTCTTGGTTTGGGAGCTTAAGTCCAGAGATGGCTCAGCCCAAGTGCAGGGACCCTCTCTGTCCCGGGGCACCACTCCTACCTCCCATCTGAGTGAGCCAGCTGCTTACAGTGAATCAGCAGCCTCCACCTGCATCCTCCACTGTCAACACTTGCTAACGGGGTGGGGAAACCTGCCAGCCTCTCCCCTGGGGTTTTGACTTCTCTATTTGATGCAAAAAAAAAAAAACCACCAAAAAAAACCCACCAAAAAAAAAAAAAAAACCCCACCCAAGAAAACAAACAAAAAATCAAAGAAAAGCAAAACAAAACAAACAACAACAAAAAAACCAAAACAAAGAAAAAACCTCCAAAGATTGGTGTTGCTTATAAAACATAGGAAAATGATTCAGCATACCTGTTACAGGTTCTTTGCAAGGACAGGGGAATGTGAACCTTACAGAAATGTGACAGTTTGTGTGAATGTTGTTTCATAAAAACCTTTTGTTCTTTACTTCCTGCATTTGTTATTTAGGTCTCTCACATTCTCATTTCTGGTGGTACAGGTGTAGAATTTGTCTATAACCAGAAAGAAGGGTAAATTTGTCTTTCACAAAGTGCCCAGTTTATTAGGATGGTTTTAAAATAATATCCTTTTCGTCTGAATTAAATTTAATGTCTCCAAGTTTCACTTCATTGTATCTTCCATTGGATCTGAACATAGAATTTCTTATGCTGCTTCCAGAATACAATAACTTTCATGGAATTATGCTGTGATCATTACATAGAAAATACAGATTTTGATAAGGAAAATCTGTTATAAGAGGTGAATTTCATTTTGAAGATAATTTCCTGAATAATTGGTTTGTTTTGAGACATAGAAGACCTTACAAAAAGCTGTAAGGTCACAGATCTAACTTCTACTTGAGTAGTTGATTGTCTTTTTGATTGATGAGCTCATGTGTAAATAGGAGTAAGTTGTTTGTTTTGATATTGGAAGATGTTTTGTATACATTTGTTTATTAAAAGACTGGGTTGCATTTATCACTACTGAAAAACATAAACCCAGGTGACACTTAGAAGTCTTTACATCTGTGTGATCTTGCTTGATTTGCCCAGGATTTTGATTATTCTCCAACTTTTCCATGTTCTTTATGCTAAGGTCGCCAAGTTATCCTCCACCTGGCTGTGGTAAGAATAAATCAAAACTGAAGTCAGAACAGGACGGCATCTCCAAGACCCACAAACTACTGAGAAGGACTTGCTCTAGTACGGTGAAAGCAGAGGATGTGTGTGCCACAAAATCCCACAGAACCTTTGGCCGCTCGTTGTCGAGTGACCCGAGGGCTGAACAGACAATGGCTCTCAGATCGCACAAACTGCTGAGCCGTGCTTGCTCTGCAGCTGTCAAGCAAGAGGAGTGCATCTCTTTAAAGCCCCATAAGGTGTTAAATAGGTCGTGCTCTGGGGATCCTCGATGTGAGCACAACAGCACCTTGAAGCCCCACAAACTTTTAAGCAGATCCTACTCCAGTAACCTTAGAATGGAAGAATTGGATGGGTTGAAGAACCACAAGTTGCTCAGCAAGACTTACTCCAATGCCCCTAAATCATCCAAAATGGAGCCTTTCAAGGAGTCCACCATGGCAGAGAGCAGGAGGCTCTCTCTTACCTCAGGGCTTATTGGTATCTTAACACCATCCTCATCATCACCTTCACAAGCTGCTGTGCGTAATATTTTTTTTGTATTCTGCTCATTTTCCTCCTATTATTTTCCAAATGTGCTATTATGCTTTTTGTGTGAAGGCATTAATACTTAGGATATATGATAGTGACTATATTAGATATACTAGGAGACAAGAACAATGAAGTCAGCTTTTTAAGGAGGATTCAAACAGCTGTGCATACACATATACTTAAATTATAAAATCAGAATCTGCTGGGGTCAGGACAGAGATTTTATGTGTCGTGTTGAAATGCAGCTCAACACACAGCTTCTTGCCATGGGAAAAATTCCATCACCCACTTCTTCCCTGCATACTTTCTGCAGGAAGAAGGGAGAGTGTGCACTTCTGTGCTGCAGAATTAAGTTGGCTGCAGAGGACTTTTATCATTTCCCTGCTTGTTTTGTGGGGGAAACAACTGTCCATTAGATGGTTTGAGTGCCACATTACCTCTCCTTCTAGTCTTTGCATCTGCCATTATCATCATCATCATCACCATCATACTGGAACGAGCTCAGTCATGGTTCCACTCACCTCTTGCACATTTGTGATTTGTGAAGGGTTAAACTTAAACCTTCAAATGTGCTGGGGGACATTGGAAGCCATGCAAGGAACTGGGCCCATGCTGGCCCTCTTACTTTCCTCAGAAACATGATCAGTTGGGAAAACAAAGATCAGAATATACTCTTGCATTTAAGAGTGAGCTTTCAAAATCGATTATTCTGCCTATACCTCTTTAAAGATGGCTTTTTACTTTAGAAGGAAGAGTGGGTTTGTTTGCAGTCTTTCAAGGCAACAGCCTGTTTTTTGTATTTGATGTGGGGAGAAGTGTTTAGAAAATAGTTCTCTCTACTCCCTTTGCCTGGTGGTGCCTTGGAAGCTGATTCTTCTTTCAGATGCCATACATATGTTTAAAATAGTGCATTCTAAATAATGAAATTACATTGAGTGCGCTATGTTTCATGGTAATTTAGTTTAGTAAGCTTTAAGCTGTACTCTTCAGATCTAAAGGCAGGGATAGACTATCATAAGATCATTTATATGTATGCTGTGTGGTTGATTTATGTGATGTGCACTGCAAAATTAATTTAAGATGAGCCATCAGACTTTATTCTTGTTGCAGTTTAGAGAAGCACTTTTTTTCTGATTCAGCAGAGGATGCATTACCATAGCAAGACTTTTCACTCCTGACATTAATAGGAAAAGTCCCTCTGGTTTTTTAAGATAATGAAGAGCTGACCAGGTTTCATTACTGATGTTATCACCTGATAAAGAAAAAAGGCAAGCCCTGTTTGGCAGCCTATAAAAACTACCCATAATTTATTGCTTCAATGCACTTACTTTGAGGGAAGATCATCACATACATGGTCAGATGTAGTTTGGCTTTAGTGGAAGGGCATCAAGAGTCTTATTTCACATTTTATATGCAGGCATCAGATATATGGGTAACTTAGGTGCCTAACTGCAGTTTGAAGTCAGTGGAATGTAGGAGTGATGAATCAAGATACTGAGTTCTCTTCAATTCTCAGCTAAAATATGAGAATCTCATATATGAATGCAAGTAGGATTGTTTCCCAGAAGAAAAATGAAAAAGCAGTTAAGCAATTAAACAGTAGAAAAATGAAAGGAAATAACCCTATTAAAAAAACCTGCCAAAACACTGTAAGTGGAGCTGATGTAACTCTGTTCAAAGCAATGTTTGATTGAAATAGGCATCATTTATAGATAGATGCCTCCACAATAGATGCCTCCCTTCTGGAGGGAAGTCTGAACCTTACTGACTCTTGTTAACAGAAGTTACTTCTAATTTATGTTGTTGTGTGCTGAAAGAAAAATAATTTGAGTAGTATCTGAGCATAAAGATCTGATAGTGCAGTGTTCCAGAAGGGAGACCTTAGTACATATAAAATAAAAAGGTTTTCAGCCTACTGAGAGTTACAGTAGTCTTTCAAGCCTTAATGTACTGCCTATATTTGGATAGGCAGTACACAGTGAAAACACAATGGAAGTTACCAAACTTCAGTTTATTAGGATGGAGTGAAGGCACTGGTGTTTTTCAATTGAGATTAAAGTTTTTCAGATGGTGAGATACAAATCTTCATTAGATTTAGGAACTAGAAAGAAATACTAGAAACCTATGCCATACTCAGTAAACAGTAAAAGGATTGATTATTTGTAATGCCTGGTTCACGCAATTGAGAGATCTCTTTAGATGCAAATTGTTTACATATTTACATGCAAAAACTTACATATGCTTTAACCATTCCCTTATAATTAGTCTGCCAACACTGAAATTGCCTCAACTTTTTCCTTGCAGCAAAATTATGGTGCAAAATGCATTCCAGTGCGAGACCGTGGCTTTCTTGTGCAGGTAGGATGTCATATCCTATTCATATATGAAACAGTGTGAACCATGAGCTGACTGTTAATTATTTTTAAGCAGATGCTGTTATTCTCATTTTCATTGTTCTCAGACTATTGAATTTGCTGAGCAGCGGATACCAGTATTGAATGAATACTGTGTAGTTTGTGATGAACCTCATGTGTTCCAGAATGGCCCTATGCTGAGGGTAAGTGGTGTGCTGGTAAAACAATGCATTTTATAGTGCCTTGAATAGCTGTGGACCATACAAACCTGTTGGAAAACCATTAAATTATTTCAGATGGGTTTCATCCTAATACTCATTTGAGATGCAAAAATATGAAGCATATTAACTAGACTTTGCTGTAAATTTGGAAACAAAAAAAATCTTACAAGGAAGGGAGAGAGAAAGTAGGCTTGTATCATACCACAGAAGTGAAAAAGGGCATGTATTTCACTGAACACTATTGTGCTGCAGTAGTCACAGCCAGATAACAGAAAGAAGTGCATTAGAGTGTTTTCTCAGTGCTCTGGCATTCTTCTGAAAGCTTAGGGCACCTCATCCCTGAGCTTTTATCAAGCCGTGACCACAGTATTTGCATACACTGGTGTTAATGCCAGCACTCTGCAAAATTCTTCTGACCTTGTTTTGCTCACAGGCTGCTGAAATGAGCCATTCTCAAATGTGATAAAAAAGGCAGTAGAAGGAGATGTTCTGTGAAGTGCCTGATCTAGCAGTGACCCAGTCTAGGAGCACTGTTGTGGCTCAGTATGTCCAAAGTCTGGCCAGTTAGGCAGCTCTTCCTTTCATTCCTCTATGATTGGGAACAGAATTTTGCCTGCTGATCATTGTAGCCTCTCTCATGCTGTTGGTGGAACAGTGGAAAAGAGTAAGATTGGTCATGAGGGACACACTGCCTGGAGCTGCTGGATCTGTGCAGCTTTGTGAAAGAGTATATTAACAGAACACAGTTCTTAGCTTTAGGACTGGTCTTGCAGTTTAGAATCCTCTTGTTTCACCTGCCCTTTATCCAGTAATGAAACATGAGTAACCTAAAAAGATCAAAGCCATGGAAAACTAACTCCAGTGAATAAATGGTCTGATACAAGGCAGTTTCTCCACAGCGTGGCCAGCAGCTCTGCATAAGCTGAAGCAGATCTTGTCTATGATAGTTCCATGGAACGAAATTCATGAGGACTATTGCTCTACCTGGTAGCAGAAGTCACCTCAGTGTCACTCCCCATGGCACTGACTGGCACCAGGGTCAGGCATTCTGACTGCATGCAAGGTGTGAAAATGGGCTGCTGGTAGAATTCAAAAAAGCATATACATACCCAGTTAAGACTGTTTAAGTAATGGTTAAACCCCTATAGTTTTGGATATCCAATCAGAGTTATTTTTGCCTCTTCATGCTCATATCTGCCTTTTAAAAGCAAGGCTTTCTGATAGGTTTATCAATAGCCAAAACTAATTAGAAGCCTGTAAAAAGGCATCAGTTCCTCACTGTTTGTCTTTGAATACACTGCTATGTATATTACCCGTGACAGAAAGAGATAAGACAAAATCAGTAATGTTTGAAGAGTGATTAAAGTTTGAAAAACATAATTATTTAAGTTATTGGAGCTTATCTATTATCTATAGGTCAAAGCAAACAGTAGGATTTATTCTACTAAAAAGAACCAGAATGTAAAGTTATCTGCTCTAAATGAAAAAAATCTGTATTCCTTCTTTCCCTCCATAAAGATTAAAATCTCTCAGAATTACTCTTTTTTGTCTTCAATTTAAAGGATCATTTTATAGCTATCTGTTTAAGAGTTTGTCAGCATTTCACAACAGAAGAAGCTGCAACCATCTTTGCTTCTGAACGTATATTCATCAGTGCCTTTGAAGTAGCATAACCTGACAAGCTTGGCAAAAACGAAAGAGTGTCTTATATAACCTAGGAAAAATTAGATACCAGGAAGAAATCTAGCATACTCTGTGTATGCTTGAATGACTCAATAAGCAATACAGAGCCATTAATGAGTTTGCACTTTTATAGAAGGTGAGAAAGGATGTCAGTGTGAATTGAGCATTACCTTGCCCTGGAGTGTATTAAGGAAATTTATGTTTCAGAATGAGAGCTCTGGTCAGGGGCAGCTTGAAGAAGTCAGTTTGTGGGGTTTATACATACATGCTTCAGCTGAACACACACACATACACGCATACATATATATGTGTATATAAATAACAGGTTTGAGGTGAAAGAGCATTTTCTCTTTAGCTGCCAGAGTGGATCTCAGAAATTTTGTTACAAGAATGGAGCAAGCTTTCATTTAAGCCAAGGCTGCATGCAGTGTAGCTTTATTGAGGATCCCTGATCTTTGTAAGGGTTCTCCTTTTGGATACCACAGTAACCTCACCAGGTTTCAGAATGGTGGGTGCCTTGCCATGGTGTGCTTAGCAAGAGTATCCAGATCTCGTTTTCTACAGATGCCTGCATCCCAAAGGCATCACATGAAAGGCTCTCTCTGCAGCAGGTTGTGTCACAAGGCATGCTACAGGCTGTATAGTTCTGGGTCATTCACCAGTTTCCCCCATTAAAATTTAATTTCTCCACACAGATGCACATGAGTTCTTGTCTAGGTGTGGGTACTCTTAATGGTGATTTTCCCTTCTACATTTTGGACCTTTTTTTTTCAACAGCAAAGAAGACCTATGAAATTATAAAAGCATAGTAAAGTTACTGCTTGAAAAGTTACTTTAATATGTACATAGGTTTGATTTTCTGATTTTTTATGGAGTTTTATGCAGTTATAAAGAAGCTGCAGAGAAATTTGATTCTCTGATTCTCCCATATGTCAGCCTCGTACCTTTCCTGAACTATAGTGTAGTTTATTAATTGTCTTAAATGCAGTTAAAAAAATTGAACGATTGCCATCACACAACAATTACAGTCTTTTAATACTATAAAGTGCTATACCTGATCACAAACTCTTACGCTGTGCATAGTTTTTTGTGCTAGTTATTACTGACTTGGGAAGTTCAGATGTCTCATCCTCACAACAGCTGAAGAAACCATCTGAAACTGAGAGATAAAGCCTTTTTCTTTCTGCAGGCTATCATTTTATCTTAGTTGTAAAGTATCTTTCAATCAATCTCTCTCAGCATTGTGTTTCATTTGCCTAAATAAAATTTTCTGGGGGAGTAGTCTGGCTTTAATATCTATTTCAATTTAAGTTACTTTTTAAAAATCCTGACATCTTTTTTCCCATAAGATAACAACCACTTGATGACAACAAGATGTTTCATTTTGTATGGCTTTATTTAGGCACTAGATCCACATGGCAGACGTATCAGTGTATGGAAGATTCTGTTGCAGAACAGCTGCATGACACAATTGCATATGTTTGACCTGATGGTTTTACAGTGGACATCTGTCTTGGTCCAGAGCCCTCAATAATTATCTGATCATGCAAATGTGCAAATGTACCCTACTGGTTCAGGGATCCATTGAAATCTTGGGGTGTTTTTAGGCCTTCTTAGTCCTTTATTGAGGATAAATAAAGGGACTGCTTTATTGGCTTACTGAAGACGAATAAATAAGAAGTTCTTACATTTCTCTTAGGAATTTCTTTACAGAGCAAAGTGAGTATCTGTGAGAATAACCAGCTTTCTTTTGAGCTTCAAAATTCCCTGAAATTTGGAAGACCAGACTTAAATACTGAGTTCCTCTGTGTACTCCACAGGTTTGTGTGTGTGGAAAACAAAACAGATTTGGCAGATGGGGTGATCTTAGTACATGCCCAAACCTAATGCCCTCATGAGGAACTGCATCTGTATTACTGTGAAGGGGAAGAACTTCTTGAATGGAAGAAGGAGTCTTGGAAAAGTACTATAACACATCCTGAAGTTGTAGCACTCTTTTTTATTAAGGCTGATGGTCCACTGCTTCACTTCATGCACTTAAAAAATCCCAGTAGTAAAGTAGGCAATGTTTTCCTGTAAGTTTTCACACCTTCCCTGGATAAGATGGGGATGAATGAAAGTTCTCATCATAGCATGTTTCTTTTGTATTTATTTCAAAACACAATGAGATCTAAGTATTATTTCCAGTGCACCAGAAGTTATAAAAGCCAAATTGGATATTTAGAGGTACACACTTATATAGAGTACCACCAAAATTGGTAAATTTGGGAAAATTATTTGAAATCACTGCATGGAATGATTTCCAGTTGTTCTGCAAAGCAGAAGAAAAATGCAGTGAATACATGGATCCTTAGAATAAAAAATATTATTTAAGCTCTTACATAACATGGACCAATGCTATTTCATGCAGTCATTTCTAATGATGATCAGAATCCCGCATGTTTCACTTTTCACAGAAAGATTAAATCATTACCAAATGTTGGGACTGCAGTCTGTACAGTCTCCAAACAGCTTCCTTAACTCATATGAAGAATCACAGTGCATCTTCCTGCAAGGCAGCCTGTGCTACAGAGATCTCAGGAGTTCTGCCATCTTCTGAAGTAGCTCCTTGCTCTGTTTTGAAAAAGGGGGAAGTGAAAGGTCAAACAGAGTTTGATGGAGGAGACACACAGAAGGCAGACATGGCAAATATACTGAAAAAAGTAAGGGTCTGGTCATTTGAATTATTAGCCTCATGTTGCCATCTTTGTTTTCAACAGAGAAGTTGTTTAGGTGAGTGAGAATGGACTATTATGTGTTTGTAATAAATGGCTAGATTTGGATTGTCTCAATAGCATTGTGAAATGCTTTTTTCCCCCTAGCTTTTTTTCCCCTAGTTGGTATTTCATTCACATCTGTGTTGTTTAAATAGTTACATAAATTATCCTGATTTCCGTCAAACTACAATATTCGATTAAATATTAAAAACTAACATAGGAAAGTTGAATGACTTCCACAAAACCCATTATGAAGCACTGACAGATTCTTGCATGGGGCATGTGTCTCTAGTGAATAATTCCTGAAACTGGAATTTGTTTCATCCACTGCCTTACACTGGCTTTTGAAGATCTCCAAGGATGGAGACTGCACAGCCATTCGGAGCAGGCTGTTACAATGCTTGATAAAGCTTTAGGAAAAACTTATTTTGGGTTTATCTAAAATTTTGGAAAAGTTTAGATAAAGTTAGTCCTATATGAGAGAATAAATGTACTGCCTGACCTCTAAAGGTCCTTTTCAACCATCTGATTTGCTTCATCTAT